GTTGTAAGGAAGACGTGGAGGCCGCGCAGGACCCTACATGCCTTTATTACAGACTACCAAGCATAAGTGAAATCCGTCATCCAGTCACTAACTACACATCTAGAGCACAGAGATCTGTCGAGAGGAGAATAAACAGTCATTAAATTATGAGATATGATTAAATCATCGACCAATAGAAAATTTATATAATAAAGCCAGAAAAAAGGTGTAAAATATAGTTTACAATAATTATTCACATTCAAGGCTGTACATCAATACATACAACACCATGGCCCCGAACATGAATTCAATCCAAATAATTCATATATTAGAATTTAAATAACACAGACTGAACTAGAGGCCAACGAGAGCCAGCAAATAACCTTATAAGAATAAAAATACAAAAGTGTGTATTTTATATCATTGCATTATTTGCTTCTGTTTTCACAAGTTCTTGGAGGAGGGTAGATTGTTTTGTGGTTTGCTGAGGAGGGTTGAGGGTCGGTTCTTTGTTTGGGTTTTTTTCTTTATCTGTACATCACAGTTACAGCTACAAACCAGGTAGAGAATATTACACACGGAACTGACTGCCACCAACCTGAAAACAGCTAGCATATGACTATCGAAACTGATTATGGTTCCTGGTTCCTATTTTTTCTCTTTGTCAGATATAGTAAGTTCTGCTACAATTTCCAACCTTTGCCACATCCCATCAGAGTTAGTACATGGCCATAGGAAGCTTTGTCGAACGGCAATCGATGTTCACTGCCCTTCTGACAGACAGACCTGGCTATTGGGTGCTTAGAACCTCTCCACCTGCTGGATCAAAGTCCTATTTCTTCTAAGAAATAGGAAACATTCTTAAATTCTCTGTCTTAAAGGAAAACATGCCATTTGGGGGCACAGAATTACTGGTCTGTAAGCTCAGGGAATCAACTGATGGACAATGCATCATCATACTTTGCAGGAGCATTTGCATTTGATTAATAAAACATTTGCATAAAGTATTACAGGCATCAGCAACATTTCAGGTATAAATACCACACCTATTTGTGTCATTTACCAGGAGGAAGAACGATCAGAATCCACAGGCCACATCTCTATGCCACTAACACCTGAGTTCTCTCCTCAGCAAGGTGTTGACATTGAATGCTTTGCCTACAGCCCAGATGAAGGAATTGCCTCGACTTGATTAAATCATCCGTAAGGAAATGGACATGTGGGAAATCCTCATCATTCTTCCAAGTTCCCAGAACAGAATGTAATGGTATCAAGCATTCTGAACGATGAAAACTGATCAGAATAATCACATCTTTGTTGCGATCCACAGTTCTTTCCTATAGCAGATACCTCACAACAAAATCATGTCAGGAGGAGAACAGTGGAGCACAGTACTGAGAGTTTGTTTTCAGCATCTAAGTGTTCAGCAAATGGAATCATAATAGGTAGTATCAGTCTGCTCACAATGCCTCAACATCACATCTGAAGCAAATCTTCCTTCACAGAAAACCCTTACAAAACTCAGCTCTTAAGGCCAATGGTAATAAACTAATTTCTCCCATTTATTGAAGCAGTTTTTAACTTCTTGTGACTGGGCTGGACACTGAATAGAACAGTGTGATTCAAAAATCCTTTCACTCAGTAGTACTTCATCCTTTCTTAAGCTCCACCCCACAAAACCCAGATGCAATATATACCTTCATGAAATTCAAACTCCAAGGAAAGCAAAATTACAACATTACTGACCAGATTCTTTCTAAACGATTGGCAGTTGTTCAAATTGAAAAAATGAATCAACCCATGGATGAGGTTTTCAGTAGGTCTGGAGTGAGGAGGAGTCTTAAGAAGAGTCTTCAAGTGCCTATCAACTATTTTTTTTGTGCTTTGAAAGGCCTTGGATTAAAAGCAGAGAAATCAACTGGCTTATGTGCAGCTCTGAAGAACCTCCCTTGTACACCTCATTCCATGAACTCCCATGCACCACAGGAGTGACCTGTCTTCACGACAGAGCTCTGAAGCTACCCCAGGTCAGGTATAAGCGTTTCAAATGGGAACCAGCCCTTCATAATATGCAGCACCTGCCAATACACATTTAAGCAGACAAACTGGTAAAACATACTTGAATCCACAACTGCTTTATCTCTCGCTATAGTATCTCACTCTGTTCTTCTGCCACCTTTCAGAGCCCCAGATATCACTTACAGTCCAAGAAGTGTAAAGACCTCTCCCAGAAAAGTTCTAGTTCCTTCCCAGAAAAGCAGTAGTTAAGTGAGACTGGAACACTGCAGTTCTGCAGGGAGGGAGGGATGCTGCAAGAGATGCTCACAGTTTTCCAGTGACAGCACTGTCAACAGGAGAAAGGAATTCTAGAATGCAGACATCAGCCTTCCAGATACTTTCTTGGCATCTCACTGCCACCAAGACTCGGCTGGCCGAAAGCCTTTTGCTGGGCAGGACAGAAGTCTACTGAGAGAGGATTTTCATGGTGTGAAAAAGCATAGCAATCACTTTGTTATGGCAAAATTACTGCAAGTCTAAGTATTGAACACATTTAAGTATACCTAGTGTTCCACCTAGCGAATGAGCCGACGGAGAACACTTGGCCAGACATGTTATGTGTGGCCAGGTTTTGTCACACTGAAGAGCAGTGGCACCATCAATCTCCATTGCTGCCAAGTCTCCTGTAAGAAGCTGAGACTAAGCCTGCACCTCTGCACCAAAGTCTAACCCCCAAAGCAGCAGGGCTGCCTGCAGTGGCCACGACACACGGCTGGAATTCGACAGTGAGCAAAAAATGGATAGCTCTGGGACAAACTGACAACACCTGTCACCTAGGTCAGATAACAGACAGGTGCAAAGTGCACTGTGCTGCTCGAATTCAGGTGTGAGGGGTGTACTTTGTAAGTGATGAAACATCTCATGATGCAAAGGGAACACTGTTCTGCCTTCCTCACCTCAGGCATTCACGGGACACCTTTGCTCCCCTGACACCTGCAAGCAGTGTCAGCCAGGCCTAACTTCTCTCAGCTCTGTGTACAGGGTGGGATACAGGAGAGTACAAAACTGCAACTCCTCCAAAAGGAAAGGCAACTGCACTGTCTCTTTTAAAAAGGGACTGGAAAAGCTGAACTGCCACCCAGCTCAACCACAGAGTTTTTAAGAGATCAGTAATAAATCTCCTTCACCTGTACAACAACACTCAACATTCATGTATTTTCTGAGAAATCCTGACGAGCCACTGCTTTCCAAATCCTGCTTCTACAATAGCAGCCCATGAGGTTTCTCAACATTGTAGTGAAACATTTCTTTCTTTGGTGGAAGGAAAAGCGTATCATGGTATGACAACTCAAAATGCAAAGAGATGGTGTGTGTAGACAGTGAACAAATAGGTGTGATGTTTATACTGCCCTTGAAACAAGGAAGGAATGGCTTTGTCCAGCCCTAGGTCACTCCTCTCTGCGAGGCTCAGAAACACAGGCATGTTGAAAATACCATTGGGGAAGTTGTTCTTAGCACATAGAAAGTTGTGTCTTTGCAATGCTACAAGAAATGTTTGACCACAAAAACGCCTGAATTTGAAGAGGATAAAGGAGATCGATATGAAAAATATTTTCATTTCATAGATATGCTTTAAGTACCATATATTTCCCCTTTGTATCAATATTTTCCTTTGATTTTTCTTAAACCAGATTACTTTATTATCTAATATTTCAACTGCTTATATTCTTTTCAGAGTTGCTAAGTATTTGTCCAAGGACCAAAAATAGGATTATTTGACATCTCATTATACAATGAGACAAAAACAAAAAAAAAAAAGTCAAGTAATCAATTGTACAAAGCTTTCACACTTCCTTCTCTACCCAGGTAAATAGGTTGGCCCCACTACAATGCACAACACATGCACACCCTGGAAAGAAAGCTTCTAGCCCTCATCTGCTGAAAAGGTGAAAAACTATTTACTACTTCAACAGTAACCTTTTCCCCCCATACTAACTAGTTACTTTTTTAGTTAGCATTAGTTGAAAGCATGCTGGTAAGTTTATCATCCCTTGATTAAACACACGATTAAAATTTAAGTTGAACACTTAAAATCTTCTCTGCTTCAGAAGCAAACATTTCCATTGTAGAAAGCTTTCAGTGCCATGTTCAGCTTTTCACTCTCTCAAAACCCTTATCACTGGAGCCTGTCTGCCAGATACATACATCTGATTCATTCACATAATTACTAAAGTACCACATAAATCCTGCAACCAGAACTACATTAGGAATTACACAAGGGTGCAACTGACCTGGCTACAAATGCCATATACCGAGAAGCTGGGGGACTGTGAGGAAAGGAAGAGAAAACAAAGAGGTGGTGCTTAGGAGAGGCATATAAAAGCTCCCTGATGAAATACAGTTGAATGATAATCTGAGAGTCACAGAAACCACCAGCCCCAGCAAAGGCAGGGCTGGCACATGATTCGGCGTGTGTGCGTGTGGATTGGTTTGAACTCATCCTAAGTGAAGCTGGTAATGCAAGGTCTATCCACTAGTCTGCAGCAGAAACTGAGCTGAAGTGCACAAAAGCAAGATCTTCACTGCAATGATATGCATGTGGAAGCCTCAACAGAAGCACAAAGAGCGAGCAAAGCAACCCTGAATTCCATTAGGTTTTTGCTTTTCTTTTTTTTTTCTTTCTTTAAAAAAAAAAGAGAACATTTCAGACATATGCTTCCCCTTGAGATGGTAACAGCTGGGGTGAAAGATTCCTCTGATCGGCTGCACACGGAGTTCTAGCAGCAAGTAGGGAAATGGGGAGATTTTGGATGAGCTCTACTATTTAGCAGCATTCTGGTGGTATCTGTGCCGCCAAACTTCATGTATCTTTTTGCACCATTTGTGAGCATTCCCACTCGGGTCCATCAGGTAATATGTCCTGTTTGGCTATAAGTGAACAACACGTAATGATTATTCCAAATGCAGTTCAACAGAAAAGAAAATCATTCTGCACCTAGCAATAAAATAATTACTCAGAATCAGTTCTTAAGCTTCCTAAAAGTTAAATTCAATTACAGCTATGCAACATTATATATTCCTGGATAACCCAACCTCTGGCATCTCAACATTGGTAAGCAGTCAACAGACAACACATGACTGGACACTCCTGGGGATTCATACATACAGAGGGTTAAACTGTGAAAGTCCTTCTTAAGAACATCTTTCAAACCCCCAAATCCCCTTACAGTTTATTCACACAGCAATAATCAAAGCACAGTTGTATTTAGGGGATAAATTGGGCTTTGCATGGGTGTTTGCTTTTATTACTATTTGATCTTGTTTGGGGGGGGTTGGGTTTTGTGCTTGTTTTAGTTGGTTTTGTTCAGGCTTTTGTTTTAAATTAAGATTAGCAATCCTTGTATTTAAGTAAAAAAAAAAACAACTCTTTGATAACAACTTACACCAGATGCCCAAAGCTCTTAGTGCAATTTACAAAGAAATTCAACACAGAAACTTACCGTGTGAACAAAAAATGTCTTAAAATTCTTGGCTTCTGGCCGCAACTCTAAAGACCATGGAATTTCTCCTTTTAGAACTTTGTTGACAGGATCCACATAGTACAGGTGGGGCCCTTCTGTGAGCAGCAACTGGCGCCGACGTGCGAACAACCCCTAAGAAGAAAAGCAGAAGGAGCAATGCAAAAACAAAAAGCATGAGGGAAATAAAAATGTAAATGTGCAATCTCTGAATTTAACAACAGAAGCAGAGTAAAACCAGCTCGGTGATAGGATGGAATGTCTGCACTTGGGGGACTTTCATTCTCCTTTTACTCTACCTATTTGATCTGACTCCTTTTTCAGGGGGTTGCAGTACATTCCT